ATTTGGTTGTTAACTCATCAACTTTGCTAAATATGCTTGATTGATCTAACATTCATTTTCAATAGACTAAATTAAGTATTCTAATGTGCGTATTATCAAATGCATTTTACATATAAAATCAATGTAATATTTGGTTGTTAACTCATCAACTTTGCTAAATATGCTTGATTGATCTAACATTCATTTTCAATAGACTAAATTAAGTATTCTAATGTGCGTATTATCAAATGCATTTTACATAGAAAATCAATGTAATATTTGGTTGTTAACTCATCAACTTTGCTAAATATGCTTGATTGATCTAACATTCATTTTCAATAGACTAAATTAAGTATTCTAATATGCGTATTATCAAATGCATTTTACATAGAAAATCAATGTAATATTTGGTTGTTAACTCATCAACTTTGCTAAATATGCTTGATTGATCTAACATTCATTTTCAATAGACTAAATTAAGTATTCTAATGTGCGTATTATCAAATGCATTTTACATAGAAAATCAATGTAATATTTGGTTGTTAACTCATCAACTTTGCTAAATATGCTTGATTGATCTAACATTCATTTTCAATAGACTAAATTAAGTATTCTAATGTGCGTATTATCAAATGCATTTTACATAGAAAATCAATGTAATATTTGGTTGTTAACTCATCAACTTTGCTAAATATGCTTGATTGATCTAACATTCATTTTCAATAGACTAAATTAAGTATTCTAATGTGCGTATTATCAAATGCATTTTACATAGATAGTTTTTTTTCTATAGGTTTTAATAGGATTTTCGTACTATTATTTCAACTACTTTTCACCAGTATTTTCATGTAAAATTATACAATCAAACACTATGTAATTATTATATTTGTTATATGTTAATAACGTATTTTATCCAAATGCATTTTACCATAGGTTAATAATAATTAAATAAACCATTGAATTGATTACATACCAAGTTTTGTAGTCTTATTAATAATTGTTGGTTCACTTGATTGCATAACAACCTCTGGATCTTAATATTTTTCATTTAATTTATTTTAATATTTGAAATATTTGTCTATTTTAATAGATTTTAGATTATTTTATAATTTTACCGTTAAATTTCTTTGAATATAATAATTTATTTATTTTATATATATTTAATACTTTTGTCTATTTTTCAACTGTAATAGATTTTAGAAAGTTTTTTAAGTAAATAACATTTAATTATATTTTTAAAAAAACAATTTATTTAATAGTTTAAACATTTTTCGTCTTTTTCTATTTTTAATAGATTTTAGATAATTTTATTATTTTATCGTAAAATAACTATTGAATTAATATTGTTTTAATATTATTTGTTTTAATAAAATAATTTTGTGTTTTTATAAATACTTGTTTAAATTAAAATTAAATATTAAGCTATATATTGCTATTTTATTAAATAATAATTACTAATAATTTTTTGTACTAAAGTAATTATTTAATTATTTTGTTAATTACATTAATACTATTTTACAAATAATTGTATTTTATATATTTTTTGTGTAATGATTTGCAACTATTTTATTGGAAACTAAATATTTATTTATTTATAGTATTTATTTAGTTAATTAGTAATTTGTTTTTAATACCTTGAAATTAGTTTTGTCTATTAAATAGACATTAAATATATATATATATATTATTTCTAAACATATATAAATAATAGATTAAAAAATAATATATTAAATTTAAATTTAGATTTTATGATTGGGAAAAAACTTTAGACTATTTACAATTAATTATTTGTTTTTTTTGTTGGTTTGTTTTATTTGAAATAAATTTTATAATAAAAAACTAAACTTTAAATAGATTTTTATAAAAATATTTTTTGTTTGTTTATAAGTTTAAGAAACAAACCAACAACAAAAAATGTTTTATCGTATTATATATACTGTATATATGAATTGAAATTTTATTTTTTTTTTCGAACTCAACTAAAATATTTATCTATTTTTTTAAATATACTATATATATATATATATATATACTTAATATAAATATATGTACTGTATATATATATATATATATACTGAATAAATATTAAAGTCAATGACAAAATTATACGATAGTAATGGATAGTAATGATCATGAGATATAGCTATTTTATTTTTATATATTAAACAAAAATATATTTATAATATATTATTAGTATTTATTGTGTACTTTATTATTATTATTAAGTTATTTTTTATACATAATATGATATATTATATATGTTTATACAGTAATCGATGAGTTAGACTACAGTATAAATCCACAAAAAAAAATAAATGTTTTTTAATTTAAATATAAAAGTTTAACAAAAAAAATTGTAATTATTAAGTGATTATTAAGTTTTACATTCAAAACAATTACTAAAAATAAATTTATTTCTCAACATTAGTCTAATATTTAATATATTTTATAATAATAATAATAATACTCATATCTGATTGAAATAATAAAAATCAAAATTTATTTTATATTATAATTTAAATTAATTACAACAACATTAATAATACAAAAAAAATAATTCAACATTTGATTTATAAATAAAATAAATTAATTATAAATTTAATAAATAAAAACGTGATTTAAATTATAATTAAAATCAATGGACAAAATGGTTTCCTATAAACGATACGCTAGTAATCTGGTAATTGCCAACATTGTTACGCCGACGGTATGGATACTATTGGCCATCAGTTTGGCCAAGACTTTGGACACCAACAACACTAACAACAATGAGACAAATAATCAGACATTTCTAGTGGCCTCAATGGTAGCCGTATCGGCGGCCAACATGTTAGCCGCCTATTTCGGTATTATCGGTATTATACGCCGCTATACATGCGAACTGGACACCTACTATGTTTTGGCCCGTATAGCCATCATTAGCGAAACATTTGTCAATCTGATGGTACTGTTTACCGACAATCAGTTCAATGGCCAGCAGCACCCGATCATCAGTACCGTACATACGGGTGTGGCTATTGCATTGATTTTGGCCCAAATATGGCTACTGTATGAGACCCGAAACTATCAGCGATTGGTGGCCACTGTTTTGGACGACGACGGCGACGATGGCGACGACGGCTTTAACGACTTTAGCGTCCGGAGGATGTCATTGCCGCCCAACATATGCGCTGATATTGAAAAACAAAATCCATTGTTTACGCTAACGGATCAACTTCTGGTGAATACCAACCATACCAACAATGACTATCATCAGCGRCTGATGAGCCGATCGCATAAAGACAGTATCGGTTCTCAGTATAACAATCTTAATCATAGCAACAATACTAACGACACGACCACTACCTCCTCCGCCGCCACCATCAGCAACAACGACAACACCTATCCATACAATTATTTCAATAGTAGTAGTAGGGTGGTGGGGGTCAGTCAGTGTTGGGCCGGTCGCCAGTCTATCAGACCCTAACTCAGCCCATACACGATGACAGTGGACTGTCGTTCAGTAATTTTTGGTCCCGAACTACTACTAGTGGTGGTGGTGGGGGTGGGGGTAGTCGTAGTGTCCGAACAATTGGCGATCCATTTCCCAAATCATTTGTGTCCAAACATATATAGAGATTGAGATATATATAAACTTTTAAAAAAATTGTCTACAAATTAAAATATTTCTCATTTTTTTTTGAATTTGATAATCAACTTATAGAATCTCATTAAAAAAATTAAGTAAAAATAATAATTGAAAATAATTTGAAAATGTTTTTAGTTTTTATTAGGTGTATGTGTTTTTTGTTTGTTTAGATAACTTATAACTAACTTATAAATTGTAATTATATTTTTGTATGTATTTATTATTTTTTTATTTTTGATAATTGAAATTTCAATTAGGTTTTACTTATAACACTAATTTTTTGTTTGTATGTTTAATTTGATAACTAATTTGATAATTAACTAAACTGTTTTTATTTATTCAAATAAGTGATTATAAAAAATAATTACTATCTATTTACAAAAACAACAAATAAAATACTAAATTAATAATTAGGTTTTTTTAAAATTAATAAATTGTGTTTATTTTTTTAATTATTATTTGCAAACAAATAATTATAAATACTGGGTATATATATGGTATTACCAATTCAGTAAAAAATATTTTAAATGCTAATTTAGTTGTTATTAATTTTATGGTAAAAAAATTTATTAWTTATTAATTTTTATTTTATTGGTGTGCAATATTGATGTGCCATTGATTGATGAAATGGGATCAACAATCTTAATAATAATTATTATTATTATGATACCAATGGACAGGTAGGCTATAGCCTACAGGTTCAGTATGTTTTGCATTATTTTTGTTAATAACATATATAATTATATTTTAATATAAGTAATAATAATTATTATTATCAATAATTAAATTATATATATATTTCATACAATTATTTTATACTATTTATAATTTTTACAGTAAATTATTTTATTAATTTTAATTTAAATATAATTTGTATGGAAATTACATTATTTACTAATTATTATTAATATATATATAAATTTAATAATAACTAAATATTACTGTACTTTTAAACTACTACAGATATTAGCTTTATTATAATTGCAATATAGTAATTATTATTTGAAAAAAAAAGTTTAGTAGAAAATTGATTAAAAATATGATTAAATTAAGTTATATATTTTAATTGTATATTTTATTTTATTAAATGACTAAAAATTTTAATCACAAAATACAGATAAATATAAACAAAATTTTAGTAATAATAAAAATTGTTGTCTAATTTATCTAACTTTTATAATTTTTTAGTATCAAAAAAAAATTCATAATCTATTTCAATATAACTAATTACTTAATTAATTAATAAATAAAATTAATTACTTAATTAATTAATAAATAAAATTAATTACTTAATTATTTAATAAATAAAATTAATTAAGTTATTTATAATAATACTTTTTTCAATAAAACTTAACTATACTTTAAAAAAAATAAATAAATATTTTTTGTTTCGTTTATTAGTTTTAGTTCAATAGTTTGTCGTCTAATTTGATGTTAATGGCCGTCAATAGCAAACCCATTGGTGTGTCGACCAGTTTTGTGACCAACTTTTCGTTGAACTTGTTCTTCAAGTTTCTCAATCGGGTCGACGCGTGAAGCAATATCAACGCCAACGACACCGCCAGACACGACAATAGCATCAAAATGGATGACATATTGTGTAGTGTTAGATAGCCGACGGCCAGTATGGTTGTTATCGATAGATAGGTTTGATTTTGGTTGGCCATTATCATCGGTGGTGCGGTGGTTGGCGTCCGATTTTGTGGGTTACCACCGGCACCGACACTACCGCCACCGCTGCTGATAGTCATATGTTTTAGATATTTGTTTGTATAGCCAATGGATACGATGGTCACCGAAATGATAACCAATGATAATAGCATTTTCTGTGGATTTGCTAAACTATTAATTAAATTTTTTTAAAAAAAATAAATAATTATAATAATTATAGTTAAAAAATTTTTAGGTAATCAATAAAATTAATAATCTAAATAAAAATCTCTATAAAAATTAATTACTATATATTTAAGTTAATTATTTAAAAAAATATTAAGTATGTTTAGTAAAAAAAWTATTGTATTAATAAATAATCAATATTTTTATTTTGGACGACTAACATATCAAATAATATGTAAATAATAGCTAATTAACAAAAACAAGTTATAAATTATTATTATTAATATGTATTATAAAGTTATTTTAGTTAAATAATTAAACTTAAATACATAATCAAAATCTATTATATACATATAAATAAAATACATTTACAAACTATATCTTATATATACAGTATATATATTAAAACAAAATAAATAATATCGTTATTCAAATAAAGAAAATTAATAAATATTATACTAAATAAACAAATAGCAAAAAAACTATAAATTAAATAATTATTGATTTAATAAATAATTTTTATTTTTAAAAAAATAAATTCAATTCAATACCCAAATAATACAAATATGATGACAACTATAGCAAAATAGTTGGTTTGATAGTAATGCAAGTTTGAGACAATACGGCCACTGAGTCGCGGACTATCAAATCGGGCCTTTGATAGCATAAAGTCGTCCAATGACCGCATCGGCGGTATTGACCAATCGTTTGACATTTTTTTAAAAAAATATTTTAATATTATTTTTAGTTTTAAATTTTTAAATAATTAATTTTATTTTAAACAACTAATAATAAACTAGAACTACAATATTTATTTTACAATAGTATTAATAGTATTAATAATGACAATAAAAACAGATTAAATGTCTATTTTTTATTAAATGTTTTATTTTATACGACATAGCATTTAATAATAATAATTGTAAAAATAAAATAAAATAATAAAAAAATATTAATGTTGCTATACATTATGTTTTTGTAACTATGTCATTACAAATTTTTTTTATATATTATAGATATGCACATATACATTTTTTTAACTGTACTTATTTTTATATATGCTAAATGATATATAACCTTGATAATTACTCTAGCAATATGATACTGTTTTACATTGAAATATTTTTATTTTATTTATTTTTAAAAAAAATTAAAATATATAAATAATAAACATAATTTTTTTTAAATATAAAAATATATACTAAATGTAAATAAGTATATATATATATATATATATATATATATAGAAAATGTGTCATATAATATTTAAAATAAAAATTTACTTAAAAATAAATTTATAATAATTTTTCAATTAATTTATTACATGTATATTTTAAAAAAAATTGAGTATAAATTATATAATATATGTTAAGTTATAATCTAAAACATAGCTAATAATTTGTATAAATTGATAAATTTAAAAAAATAGTTTTATCATATTAGCATAAATACTGTACTGTAGTATTAATATTAATAAATATTTTATAATACAGTAGAAAAATTGAATATTTTTTTTTAAAAAAATAAGTTATTAAAAGTTTAATTAAAAATTTTCGTTTAAAACAGTCAACAAATTATTATTTAATTTTTTAACTCAAATCATTTATTAAATTTTTTATTTAAGTAATAAGTTTGAAACAAAAAAAATGATTTGTTTTAAATTTAAAATTAACTTACTCATTATTGATTCCCCCTCCCCCCCCAATATATAGTTACCCAAACTCACTCAAAATTATTTACCCTGGATTTATTTGATTGATATTATAATTATGAAATTATAGTTATTTAATTTATTTAGCAACAATTAAATATTACTGTATTTTATAATATTTAGTATCACAGGTTTAGTTAAATCTATTATAAAATTATTTTATAAAATTATTAACATCAACAACAACAAAAAATTACAAATCTAATTATATGGATATAAATTATATATAATATAATTGTTAACAAAAAATTTAAAAAAATTATATTATTTATATAATTTAATTTGTTCACTATGTTATTGAATGATATTGAAATTTAAATCAATTACTTATATGATTCACAATTAAATTGGTAGAAAATTATTTTTTTAATTAATACTATATTATTGATTCATTAATTAATTAGTTAGTTTCAATTAATTACTCAATTAATTATAAATGCATCTACTATTTAAAATAGTTATTTTTAAAAAAATGATAATTAAGTTTAAATTTTAATTTTGTTGTTTTGTTGGTTGAAATAATTATTTACATTCAGTATAATTATCTATATATATATATATTTAATTTTTAGTTATTATTATTATTATTATTTTGTGTTATTAGTAACATTTATAATGAAATATACAGATTTTATTAATAATATTTTTTATATTATTTACTGGAAAATGTTTCGCAAAATTCAAGCATGGGGTAAACGTAAAGGTACTGGGTTATAATAAATTTTTATCAAATTTTATATGTTAATTTACTATATAAATAGATATTAATTAAAGTTAATTATTAAAAAAAAAGAGTTAACTTTTAAAAAAAATTAATTGTAATGTTTTATCAAACAAATAGTATATATTTGTTTCTTTTTTTCAATTAGTATTAAACAGTAAATAGATTACTATTAATAAAATAAAATGTTTTCATTATTATTATATTAAACTATTGTATTTAAAATATCATAAAATATTTATATTATGTGTTTAGTAATGTTTTTTTTTATAGATTTTAGATATAAAACTTAAAAAATAAATTTATTAAGAAAAGATATATTTTCTTTAGAAAAAAGTAAATAAAATTTTATATTTAAATCTAAAACAGAATATTCCGTGTGATATCTATCATACGGTGCTTTTAATACACTTATAACCTTATAATAGCATACAGTTCCCCTAACTAGCTAATTATCTAACTAATACATACACATACACATACACATACACATACACATACACATACACATACACATACACATACACATACACATACACATACACATACACATACACATACACATACACATACACATACACATACACATACACATACACACATCATATACATGTACAATAGATTAATAATGTTGTGTCTAATCGTTAAAGTAACCCTCATTATAAAACATTGCATCAACACAGTGACATACATGAGCGTTGCCATTGACAACCAGTACATCCCCTTTTATTTAAAATAAAAATATTTATGTGTGTGTGTGCACACATATATTGTTATGTGTGCAGGGAGAGGGGGGGGGGAAGTTAGTTTTATTTGGCATTATTGTTAACTGTATACTAAAACAATGTATGTACAGGTAGTATATTTTTTTAAGGGATGGGGAGGGGAGTGCCAACCCATATAAAATTATTATAGAAAGTAAGTATAGATGTATATAACTATTGCACTTGAATTTAGTTACAATTATTTTTTTGGTAGACAAACACACACTACACAATGTAATGGCATTTACTGTACTTTAATAATAATAATACAAATGATTAATACACTATTGCAGTCAATTTATGTCACACTTACTGTACATTTATAATACTGTATATTAAATTTAAAAAAAAATAAATGTATTTATCATTCAAAAACCTGTATTATTATTATTGTATATAAAATATATGATAATAATAATGTAATAATAATATTAATAATAATAATATTATCTAATCAAACAACACAACAAATAATTTTGATTAGATTATTGTTTTAAAAAAAAAATAAATTATTTTTTAAGTGCAAATATTGAGTTTTATTTTATTTTTAAAAAAATGTTTTATTTTAGATAATAGTAATTATAATTATTTTTTTTATAATTACCTGTAAAGTCAAGGATAATCTCATTTAATATAACCAATTGGTATAGTAATTGAAAAAAATTATTTATTTATTTTTTTTGTGATAATTATTGTTTAATGTTTGTGTGAATGTGTTGTTTAATAAATATWTATTTTTTAAAAATAAATAAAATATTAATAATTGTTATAAATATAAAATCTATTAAAAATTAATAATTTTTTTAGTGTTTCTCTCTCTCTAGTGTTAAATTARTACCAAAAAAATTATTGCCAAAAATATTTGATTATTTATTTTATAAAATTAAATTTTTTTGATACTTATAGAGATATCATCAAATAAATAGATAATTATAATATAGATATTAATATATTATTAATGTAAGGGAAAGGTATGCTTTTAAATTAGATGATAAACAAAATATACTKTACTTAATAATAATAATAATAATAATAATAATAAGTATTATATAAAATATCTCAAAAAATATATATATATATATATATATATCAATAGATGATATAATAAATTATTTAATAAAACTCAAAAAATACAATTTCAAAACACAACAGTTATAATAATAATAATAATAATAATTGTTATAATATTTTAATTTTTTTTAATATATATATATAGTTATTCTCTGCTAACAAAGTGTGTGATAATAATAATAATAGGAAAATATTTTATTTTTATTTTTTTTGTAATCATTTTTTCTCGTTATAACAGAATATATATATTTTTATATAATAATAATAATTATTATTATTATAAATTAATTAATTAATTATTTTTTATTATATAATACAGTATCCAAACAGAATATTCTGTGTGTTTGTGTGTATTATTATTCAACTGTTTTATTGAATTTTATAGAAAACATTTATATAGTGATAATATGTAATAATTATAATTATAATAATAATAGTATTAATTAATTAAAATTGTCAATTAATTTATTAAATATTAATTAATTGACAAATAGTATTTAAAATTAATTAATTAATTTTAAATTAAAACAAAAAACAAACATAGTATGTAATATAAAATTAATTAATTAAATTTAAAGTATATATCCAATAGTTTTGTTGTTGCTGTTGTCGACCAAAAAATAACATAATAATTATAAAATTAATTAATTGATTATTTTCATATAATAATAATAATATAATATCTTTTATTTTTTTTTGTTGATATGAAATACCAGTACCGGTGATAAACATGTCTGTGATAAACGATTTGCGGCTATTGTTATGGAAAAATTTTATGCTACAAATCCGACATCCGGTGGTCACTGTAGTCGAACTACTGGTTCCCTGTCTGTTTGTGGCAATGCTAGCTGCCATACGTATCAAAGTTGACTATACTATCTACGATAATACTACAGTGTATAATACATTTAGCCTGGATAACATACCCGAGCTGAAACTAGATGAACAAATGCGTGCCCCACAATGGTGGATACTGTACGCGCCTAATACGACCCGCGTGCACGATATTATCGAGACCCGACTGTACAATAGGCTGACCGGTATAAGTGGTATGCAATTTGAATGTAAGTTATTATTATTAATTATTATTATTACTGTAATTATATTAAAAATTTAGTAATATTTTTAATAATAGTTTTTAATAATAGTTTTTAATTAATTAGTATAGTTAACAAAACAACATTTTTAATTAAATATTTATTTAAAAATTATTTTCTATTTTATTTTCTAATTTTTTTTATTTCACTTATTTTACTTTACAATAATTATTGCATTTTAGTTAATGAATTTGTTTTTTAGTATATTTTTTGTTTGTTTAGTTAGCAATATAATAGGTTATCAACTAATCGATCTATTGATTGATTAATTTTGTTATTATTTTTATTATATTTAATGTATATTTTTATATTTAGATTAAAATACTGTATAAATATATAATTGTAAACACTTTGTGTAAAATGTTTACACATTTTTTTTAGGTATTGTTAATACATTTGATTTTGTTTGTATTGATCAACAATACTGATTAAAATATGATTTTTTTGTTTAGTAGAAAATATCTATTTTTATGAATTAAATCAATAGTAGTTTATTTAAAAAATAAAATAAAACAATTTATTTATTTATTAAATATGCAAATTAAACAAAAACCTCAAATTATATGAATATTAATATCTCATTATTATTATTATTATAAATGTTTTTTTTTAATATTTAATAATTTGGGGAAAAAATTAATTCATTAAAAAAAAGATTTTATTCCACAATAAATTTAAATTAACTAAAATTTTTTATTATAATATAATGTATAAAAAACAATACAATACAGTCTAAAATAACTATAGATTAATAGTACAGTTGCACTAATACTGAACTATACCGGTATATATACAGTATATACTATATGTGTGTCTATGGTATTAATTGCCAACTTTTTTTGTGTGCTAATCTTATATATTAATCAAAAAACATTATTATTATTATGTAATGAATAATTAGCTCATATGATATAGGATAATAAAGTCTAATAATAATAATAGTAATTATAATACATGGCTTTAAATATTATACAAAATACTACATATAATATATATATATATTAATGCCATATTATATATATCAAAAAAATTATATATTTAAAAATCAATAAAATGCATAAAATTTATGGTTTTTATTTGCACAAATATTGAAAGCAATTTCACTGTAATTTTAATAAATATTCAAAATAAAATATTGTAGGGGAAGTGGGTATATTACGGGTATCTAGGCTTGTCTAACCTTTCTTATGTAAACCAAACACTCGGCAATTCACCACTTACCTTACGGTTTTGACTCTTTTAGTGATAACTTATAGTAATGCGTGGCTTAGGAACGAGCGGTTTCCTATTTAATCTACTATGACCAATTAGGTCTGTAGCCATAATAGGGTCTGTCACCCAAATAGGGTCTGTCACCCGAGTAGGGTCTGTCACCCCAAATAGGCTTTGTCACCCAATAGGGTCTGTCACCCAAATAGGGTCTGTCACCCAAATAGGGTCTGTCACCCAAATAGGGTCTGTCACCCAAATAGGGTCTGGCACCCAAATAGGGTCTGTCACCCAAATAGGGTCTGGCACCCAAATAGGGTTTCAGATCCGTCTAGGGTTTCAGATCCGTCTAGGGTTTCAGATCCGTCTAGGGTTTCAGATCCGTGCAGGGTTTCAGATCCGTGTAGGGTTTAAGAACCGTGTAGGGTTTAAGAACCGTGTAGGGTTTCAGATCCGTGTAGGGTATAAGATCCGTATAGGGTTTAAGATCCGTATAGGGTTTCAGACCTTTATAGTCACAGATCAGAAGGCCTGGAAGGACCGTGGGCCTGGAAGGACCGTGGGCCTATAAGGACCGTGGGCCTATAAGGACCGTGGGCCTATAAGGACCGTGGGCCTATAAGGACCGTGGGCCTATAAGGACCGTGGGCCTATAAGGACCGTGGGCCTATAAGGACCGTGGGCCTATAAGGACCGTGGGCCTATAAGGACCGTGGGCCTATAAGGACCGTGGGCCTATAAGGACCGTGGGCCTATAAGGACCGTGGGCCTATAAGGACCGTGGGCCTATAAGGACCGTGGGCCTATAAGGACCGTGGGCCTATAAGGACCGTGGGCCTATAAGGACCGTGGGCCTATAAGGACCGTGGGCCTATAAGGACCGTGGGCCTATAAGGTACACTAAGAGCCATCCGTTAACGGATACGGGGTCCGGAGTTCTCATAATAAAAATATTTACTTACGTAATAGTTGTTAGCTGTCCGCGTAGTTGTGGATAGGTCCAAAGGCGTCCCTTAAGATGTCCAAACAGTTGATTCGCGATGACAAAGTAAACACACACACAAAGTAATATGCAAATACTTTTATTAATTCACTTTAAAGTAATACACGTAGTATGACTCCAAGTGGAGAACTGATTTTGGTGTTCGAAAGACACCTCTATTTATACTAAAGTGTACGTTCGGAAAAAGTGTGTCGCATTGAGTCAGGTTTTAATCACTATTAAAACTGGGAGTTTACTATTTAATTTTTTCTATAACATTTTAGTGCATTATTTTAACACTAAAATATTGAATAAAATTTCCTTAAAAACAAGGTGTTTACCTTTAGGTTTTCTGTATAACATTTTAGTGCTGTTATAAATTTTTAACAAATAAAAATAAGAATAATTTTTGAAATACTTTTTCTGAGTAAAACAAATAATATACCCTTACAATATATTTTAATTATGTATGTTATCCTTGACTTCAATATAAAATTATTTAATGTAGAAATATTAGTGTATATAAGCATTTGTTTATTATAGGGAAAGTTTTCAATAATTTAGCTTATGTAATAATTATGTTTTTTTAATTATTTAAATAAAAACAAAACTTATTTAATAGTTAAATATTTTGCTGATTTGACCCACTATTGCATTTCCGCCCCTTCAAGTCTTCATCTGTCCTCAGATGTGTAACACTAATAACTCATGTACACATTAGTTTACAAATTTTGTATTTATAAAATATTACTATAAAATCCCTTCACCTTAAAAAAATGCATGCATTATATAAACTTAAATCTATAAAATACCAATAAACCATGCATTATAATAAATTTTAATCGTTGTCCGTTTTCTGATCATCATTGTGCTTTGTTTCTTTTTCCGTGTTATCATCTATTTCATCGTCCAGTTGATTTTCATTGTCATTTTGTGTAGTATTATGTTTAGCATTGTTACTATCTACTTCATCAATGCCGTCCAATTCAGGAAGTGTTTCATTGTTCCATTTTCTTAATCGTCTTATATGTACTTTCTTAAACTTTTTCCTTGGATTATGTACACTTTGGACAGTGTATACAAGTGGACTGTGCCGCGTAATTATCTTATAAGGGCCAATATATTGGCTTAATAATTTTGTACTAAGACCAATTTCTCTGTGAGGAATATGTAGTGACACCAAGTCACCTTCCTCAAATACTACATCGCGATGTTTAGCATCATAACGGAATTTACCATCATTATGAGCTTCAATAATTCTCATTTGAACCAATCTTCTTGTCTCCTCCATATATTTTAAATAATTAGTACCAAATGCAAAGTCACGCGGTAGATCATAAGATACGTCAATTGGTACTTTTGGTTCTCTTCCATATAGTAAGAAAAACGGAGAAACTTTGGTAGCTTTATGATGACTAACGTTATACGAGAATGTTACTTTGGGTAAGTACTGGTCCCAATTGGTAACATTATCTTGAACATAATGTTTAAGCATCATAGCTACAGTCCCACATGCTTTTTCTGCAGTTCCATTCGATTGTGGACTATATGGTGTGGTTTTCACATGTTTGGAGGCTGTCAACTTAAAGACTTCTTCCATAAAGTCTGATATAAAGTATCTGGCATTATCTGTTAACACTTTTTTAATGGCGCCGTGTCTTGCCAATACTTCATCTACAAACCATTTCGCTATGGTAATGGCTTGTACATTCCTCACTGCCTTTGTCTCCATCCATTTTGTAAATAAGTCAATCATTATTATAATGTATTTACTGCCTTTTGACGTCGGAGAGAGAGGCCCAAGTATGTCTACTCCGACAATTTCAAATGGTTCATTGGCATCGATAGGCTGCAGCATTCCTTTCTCCAGTTTATTGTCGACTTTATTCAACTGACATGACTCGCAGTTGTTTACGTATTTTCTGATTGACTTTTCACAGTGAGGCCAGAAAAATCTCTCTTTGATTTTTCCATATGTTTTTTCAAATCCTAAGTGAGCTCCGGACAACTCATTGTCATGTAAATCTTGTAGGATTTGTCGTCTTAATTCTTTAGGAAGGCATAACTGTAGCCTCCTATTTCTATTATTATCATAACTTATCCTATATAGAATTTCATTTTCAATAATGAATTTGCTTAAGCTTTTACTTTGTTGATTATTTTTTATTTTCTCTTTTAATTCTTTACACCATTTATCACTATCTTGTTTCTCTATTATGTTTATTGTAGGATTTATTAGTACTGGTATTACTGGTTCCCAATCGTCTGGTTTCTCGTATGGATATCTTGATAATGCGTCAGAATTGTTATGTAATTTTCCTTTCTTATATTTTACTTCAAAGTCATATTCTTCGAGTATTGTTCTCCAATGCATTAATCTTCTGTTTGGGTTTTTCAAATTTCTAATATATTGTAGTGGATTATGGTCACTATATACCACAAAATGTTCGCCATATATGTAATGTCGATACCTTTCAACAGCCCATACTATAGCTAAACATTCTTTTTCGGTTATACCATAGTTTAATTGTGCACTGTTAAACATTTTACTGTTGTAACTGATGACGACATGTTTACTATTTTGAATTTGTCCTAGTATTGCTGACATGCCATAGCCACAAGCATCAGTGAATATTTCAATAAGGGCACCTTCTTGATATTGTGCTAGTATTGGTGCCGTAATTAATCTATTTTTAAGTTCGTCAAATGCTTTTTGACATTTAATATCCCAATTAAATTTAACATCTTTGCGCAACAGGTTTGTTAATGGTTCGGC